GCAGGTGTGAGCCACCGAGGCAGGCCAGAAAACTGTTTATATAAACATATTTCTGTTTTCTCAAATTTTCTAATAAATAGGAGTACGTGTTCCTGAGATTGTAGCAGTCTGTATAGTCCAGTGGCTGGAGTTGTTTTATTTCCAAACTCAAATTTATATTCTCAACCCTTTTTCCATCTTACACAATAAAGTTCCATCTTATACAATAAAGCATTTATCTCTTCTGCATCTCATTCTGTTCATTAATAAAAGAGCAGTATATTGTGAGGCTTAATTAGATAATAGAGCACTCTGAAACCCCATATAATAAAATAATATACACTTTATTTAGTCTTCTGATTATTGTGATTACTTCTTTTTTTCTTTTTTTTTTTTAGACAGAGTCTCAAGCTATTGCCCTGGGTAGAGTGCCATAGCATCACTGCTCACAGCAACCACAAACTCCTAGGCTTAAGTGATTCTCTTGCCTCAGTCTCCCAAGTAGTTGGGACTACAGGCGCCTTCCACAACGCCTGGCTATTTTTTGGTTGTAGTTGTCATTGTAGGCCAGGGCTGGATTCGAACCCACCAGCCGCTAGTCGCTTGAGCAGCAGGCACCAAGCCTGATTACTTCTAAGAAAACCAACTTGTCTTTTTTTTTTTTTTTTTTAGACAGAGCCTCAAGCTATCCCCCTTGTTAGATTGCATCACAGCTCACAGCAACCTCCAACTCCTGGGCTCAAGCGAGTCTCCTGCCTCAGCCTCCCAAGTAGCTGGGACCACAGGCGCCCGCCACAACGCCTGGGGTATTTTTTTGGTTGCAGCCATTATTGTTGTTTGGCGGGCCTGGGCTGGATTCAAACCCGCCTCCTTAGGTGTATGTGGCTGGCGCCTTAGCTGCTTGAGCCACAGACGCCAAGCCAAAACCAACTTGTCTTAATCAACTTGGAAGAAAAGCAAAATTCTAGATGTAGAAATGTATTTTCTCAAATTATTCTTTTTTAGAACTAGATTCAGTCCCAGGCTGCTGCTTACATCAGTGATCCCTTCTAGGACCAGGCTGGAGGGCTTGTAGTCCACTGGAAAGGCGTCAGGCACCTGCTGCTACAGCAGGGAATTAACAAAGGAAGGGCCATAAATTCCTCTCAAGAACTGAAGAATTCTTTAAAGTTTGAATGTTTGGGGGTCACAGACCAAGGCTATTCCCTGATTTTTCATTTCCGAAAGTCACACTTTAAGTTAAAAATTTATGTTCTGGGCTCAGCGCCTGTAGCTCCGTGCCATCCAAATACACTGGAGCTGGCAGGTTCGAATCCGCCTGGGCCTGCCAAAAAACAATGACAACTGCAACCAAAAAATGGCTGAGCATTGTGGTGGGCACCTGTAGTCCCAGCTGCGTGGGAGGCTGAGGCAAGAGAATTGCTTAAGCCCAAGAGTTTGAGGTTGCTGTGAGCTGTGACACCGTGGCACTCTACCCAGGATGACATAGTGAGACTCTGACTCAAGGAAAAAAAGAAAATTCTGTTCTGGGCTCACGCCTGTAATACTAGCACTCTGGGAGGCTGAGGCAGGTGGATTGCCTGGTTCAAGACCAGACTGAGCCAGAGTGATACCTTGTCTCTAAAATTAGCTGGTTATTGTGGTGGGTGCCTTTAGTCCCAGCTACTCAGGAGGCTGGGGTAAGAGAATTACTTGAGCCTAAGAGTTTAAGGTTGCTGTGAGCTATGATTTCCTAGCACTCTACTGAAGGCAACAAAATAAGATTCTGCCTTTAAAAAAAAAAATCTGTTCTGGAAATTTCCATATATCAAAAGAAAATACAGAATTTAAATCATAGTATCTTCCCAAAAGGAAGAGAAGAAAAACAATTCTTCAAAGAAGTATTTTTGTTTTCTCTTCTTTTTTGGTGTTTTAAATGTCAATAATCACAAAACGTCAGGCTTCTCTTCGCTGCTGGCTTGCTGAATATATTACTGCTTTGACTTCTGTTCCCTGAGGATACTTGAACAATGAAAATTCTTCTTCCCACCCAATTGACCATAATCTGAAATTGCTTTCATCAATATTAAGCACTTGCAGTTCCCATGGTATGAAGAATTCTTCAGCATTGAATTTATAAAGCCATTCATCCAAAAAGTGAAACAGAAGAGACTGTAATTCATCTCCGTGGGTTTCTACTTCTGCTGTCTGGAGGGCTCCACAGTCACAGTATCTGTCGTGTGACCAAACATGGCCACTGCACACTGCTCACGTGCTTCCTCCAGAGAATCTCCCCATCTGCTGTATGAGCCAGATATTCGTGCTTCCTATTGACTGGCAGATACTTGGCCTTGATCACCTTCTGCTCTTAAGTCAAATAGTAGTCTCTAACACCTGCTTCTTTTTTTTTTTGCAGTTTTTTTTTGGCCAGGGCCTGGTTAGAACCCGCCACCCCTGGTATATGGGGCCAGAGCCCTACTCCTTGAGCCACAGGCCCTGCCCCTAACATCTGCTTCTTCCTGTGCTATAATTGCATGATTCTAATATAAATTTTAAAAATAATTGAAAAACCTTTTTGAAAGACAAGCAAATTTCTCCAACATCACTAGATAATTTCTCTTCCTAATTACAAGAATCAGTTTGGCAAGCTCCGTAAAAATATCCATTGAGATATTGTTTAGGATTAAATTGAAAACTGGGTGCAGTGGCTCACACCTGTAATCCTAGCACTCTGGGAAGCCTAGGTGGGAGGATGGCTTGAGCTCAGAAGTGGAGACCAGCCTGAGTGAGTTGGAGACCAGCAAGAGTGAGACTCTGTCTCTCCTAAAAATAGAAAAACTAGCCCAGCTACTTGGGATGCAGAGGCAAGAGAATCACTTAAGCCCAAGAATTTGAGGTTGCTGTGAGCTGTGACGCCATGGCACTCTACCCAGGATGACTTAGTGAGATTCTGTCTCAATAATAATAATAATAATAATAATATGCTTTTCTACAGGGTGTCCCAAAGATTTCCATAAATTACATACATAGGGAAAATGGGAAGTTGTAGCTAACTGTACTTTTATTTACAAAATATATATCTTGTGTTGATACATAAATATAAATGTATTAAAAACATAAAATGTAATAAAATCTGAGTTTATTAATTTTCCTATGTATGGTGACCTTTGGGACACCCTGAATTATTCAGCTCATTTATGCCCTTTACCACAGATTTATATTTTCTTTCTTTTCTTTTTTTTTTTTTTGAGACAGAGTCTCACTTTACTGCTCTTGGTAGAGTGCCCTGGCATCATAGCTCACAACAACCTCAAATTCTTAGGCTCAAGCAATTCTCTTGCCTCAGCCTCCCAAGTAGCTGAGACTACAGGTGTCTGCCACAACCCCTGGCTATTTTTAGACACGAGGTCTCAATCGTGCTCACGTTGATCTCCAACCTGAGAACTCAGGCAATCCACTTGCCTCAGCCTCCCAGACTCTTAGGATTACAGGCATGAGCCACCCTGCCCGGCCTACATTTTATTTCATATAAGCTTTGCACATTTCATTTAGATGTGTTCTTAAGCATTTTGTATATTTTTTAGGTTACCGTGCATTGGATCTGTATTTGCTTTTGTAAAGTAGCTATTAATTGTTGCATCTTAATCTTACATTCTTCTATTGTCTTGAATTATTTTACACAATATTCTCCAGTGGAATTTCAGAAAGATGAACTTTTGGTTTTTTGCAAATAATGATATTTTGCTTCTTTGTTATGCTACTTATTTTTTAGTGCATTTGCTGGATATACCAGGACAATGCTGCACAATACTTATGATACAAGGCACTTTTGCCTTTTGTTTACTTTAATGACAATGCTTTTAATATTGTTTACCAACCAACTAGGTTCTTTTGCCTGCTGCACAAAAGGAAACCAATATGCCAAGCCAGCAGGTGTTACAGAAGAGAGTTTAATTATTGCAGGACAGTTGAGTGAAGAGATGGGAGGATTCGGAAGCTAGGATGTTTTTAAGGGTGGTTTGGTGGGCAGGGGACTAGGAAATGGGTACCGCTGATTGGTTGGACAGGGTATGAAATCATAGGGGATGTAGAAATTGTCTTCTTGCTTTGAGTCAGTTCCTGAGTGAGAATCACAAGACCAACTGAGTCAGTTCCTTGGAATCAGCCACTGATCTGCTTAAATCAATTGGCTCACTGGAATATGGGGTCTGGAAAATAAATAAATATATATATATATATATATATATATATTTTGGATACAGAGTCTCACTTTGTCACCCTTGGTATAGTGCCATATTGTGATAACTCACGGCAACCTCAAACTCCTGGGTTCAAGCAATTCTCTTGCCTCAGCCTCCTGAGAAGCTGGGGACTACAGGTGCCCACCACAACTAATAGCCCACTGGCTATTTTTAGAGATGGGGGGTCTTTATTTTGCTCAGGCTAGTCTAGAACTCCTGGGCTCAAGTAATCCACCAGCACTCGGCCTCCCAGAGTGTTAGGATTACAGGCATGAGCCACTTGGCCAGGCCTACTTTTATAACTTTTAAAAGACTTCACTTTTAGTGATGAATAAAATAAAAAAACTATGACTCGGTGCCTGTAGCTCAGCAGCTAGGGCACCAACCATGTATACCAGGGCTGGCAGGTTCAAACGTAGCCCAGCCCTGCCAAACAACAATGGCAACTACAGCAAAAAAAAAAAAAAAAAAAAAAAATAGCCCAGCATTATAGTGGGCGTCTGTCATCCCAGCTACTTGAGGTAAGAGAATCGTTTAAGCCCAAGAGTTGAGAGTTGCTATAAGTTATGGTGCCACAGCACTCTACCAAGGGCAACATAATGAAATCTGTCTCAAAAAGAAAAAAATAAATAAATAAACGCAAAATGTATACTATTAAGCACATATGATTTGGAGATTACTGGTTACAACTTTGCCATACTGCCACTTGGCATACCAAACACTGCCTAGAAGAGATTAAATAATATCTTGCATGTTTATCATGTTTGATTTTTTTATTTTTTGAGACAGGGTCTTACTCTCTTGCCTAGGCTAGAATGCAATAACATTGTCATAGCTCAATCTAATCTTAAACTTCTGAGCTCAAGTGATCCTCCTGCCTCAGCCTATTTAGTAGCTTGGACTACAGGTGCTTGTGCCAACACATCTGGCCAATTTTTCTAATTTTTGTAGAGACAAGGACTTACTCATGCTTAGGCTGGTCTTGAACTCCTGGCTTCAAGCAGTCCTCCCAGATTGGCCTCCCAAAGTGCTAGGATTATAGGCATGAGCTACTCACCTGGTCTATCTTGTCTGATTGAGATGCTGTATTCTCTGCTCTTGCTATCTCAGCATCTCACTCCTCTCTTGCTGCAGGATAGTTACTACTATTTATTGTGAAGTTTAGGGGATAGTTCTCATATATTTTGCTTTCATGGTCCATAGACTTTATTCTGCTTCCTAGTTTCCCTTTTAATAACTATGGTCCTCTCTGTTGTGCATTTTTTGTGTGAAATGAGTTTTCCTGTCCTTTCGTAAGTGAAGGGTAGGCCAGGAAGATTTTCAGCTCTAGGGTTTCCATTTTTGTTGCTGTCTGAAGTTATCAGAGATCCGCCTCTTCCTTCTGTCTGAACTTTTCCTTTCCTTGGTCTGTATTGCTTATTTTGTGTTTAATAGTCCCTTCAGCAGAACGCGAATACAGTCTTTCCCCTGCTTTTATTAGTTTTGTTTTAGAGGGGAGCTTTGGTTTCAAATCATGGGGCCTAGACTATCCCATGAATTTCGACCTACCTAGATTCTTTGCACTCACTTACAAACTGGAGTCAACAGAACTCCTCTCAGTTTCAGCTGCTTTTCTCAGAATGGTCTGCTGAACTCTCCCGTGTGCGCCTGTGGATGTTTGGGGGTTCTCCACCTCTCCAGCCGTGGTGATGCCTTGCTGTCTTTCTTCTGCATCTTTGTGTGCAAATAAATAGACAGTCACGACCAACCCACAGCTCCAGATCCATTTGTAAAAGCCAAGGTATGGGTAGTAAAGCTTAGTGAAAAATTGTTAGTCCTACTTAAAGGGATGATATTTTAAGTAAACAGAAGCAAGCTCATAATGATTCAAGAATGTAAAAAGTTAAAAACACATACAAAGGCTTGGCACCCGTGGCACAGTGGTTATGGCACCAGCCACATACACTGAGGCTGGCGGATTCCAACCCAGCCTGGGGCAGCCAAACAACAATGACAACTGCAACAAAAAATAGCCAGGCATTGTGGCAGTCACCTGTAGGCCCAGCTACTTGGGAGGCTGAGACAAGAGAATTACTTGAGCCCAAGAGTTTGAGGTTGCTATGAGCTGTGACGCCACGGCACTCAACCCAGGGCAACATAGTAAGACTCTGTCTCAAAAAAATAAAAAAAAAAAAACACATACAAAGATCAATTTTTTCCTTTATTGTCTATAAGCTTTTTGTTTATTCAATGTACTTTTATATGTTGTATTTGGATATACACAAATAGGTAAGTTTAAAGCTTTTTCCTTTACTGAGCCGGGGTGGGGGAAAAAAAAAAGTTTTTACCTTTACTTTTAATTCAAAATCGTATTAGACATTGCAAATATAATTGAACAAACATAACATACATATGTTTACTAATAAACTATAACAATCTTTTGTTAAGCAAAATATAGGGTAGACATAAAGTTTATGTGCAATTTAAAATAGTTTAACATGGCTCGGCGCCTATAGTTCAAACGGCTAAGGCGCCAGCCACGTACACCTAAGGTGGCGGGTTCAAATCCCCAGCCCAGACCCGCCAAACAACAATGACGGCTGCAACCAATTAAAATAGCCGGGCGTTGTGGCGGGTGCCTGTGGTCCCAGCTACTTGGGAGGCAGAGGCAGGAGACTCGCTTGAGCCCAGGAGTTGGAGGTTGCTGTGAGCTGTAATGCCATGGCACTCTACCCAGGTGGACAGCTTGAGGCTCTGTCTCAAAAATAAATAAATAAATAAATAAATAATAAAATAAAATAAAATAGTTTAACATAGAAATTGTACACAAAATTTATGAAGACCCTGTGTAGTCCAGTGAGATACTTTACATTACTTTGTTCATATTAAGACTTTGAAATTCCCGGAACATACTATGAAATGTTTCTTAGATTTTTCACTGAAATATTTGTTAAATGAATAAATTACTGTTCCTTTTTTATGAAGACAAAAAAAAAAAAACTTTGAAATTCAGTGAACGCATTACGCTTAAAACATACCTCAATCTAGATGCTAATTTTTCATCAGAAATACTTGATCTGCATTAGGACTTCATAGAATTTACAGTTGGAAAAGTAGTTTCACATACCCAAGTTGTCACAAGCATACTAAAAAGGTTCCCCCAAACTGGATCAAATGTCAGTTTTTTTAATTTAATAAAATTTTTTAAAAATTCAGTACTTTAGTGGAATCAGCCACATTTCCCATGCTTAACAGTCATTTGGAGTAATACAGTTCTAGAGAGTAGTTGGTTAGCTGAGGAAAAAAGATGGTGCCAACTTTGTACTATTTATGTATAACATTTATCCAAATAAGTGAATACATCAACTTCTTATTTTAAAACAATTTGCAATAAGTAATTAGGCTATGGAAATCACAAACACACCCCCATAGCATTAATGTGGGGGGAAAGAGTTATCTTTATATTCTATGAATAAGTTTCTTGTGCTATTTAATTAAAAGAACAGGCTCAGTATATCAAAGATATGGCTATTTAAGGTAAGCACATTTTGAACATAATAGTTTTATTAAATGTGAGCAGAAAAAAATCAGTATTTCTACATTTGTATATATTTTATTTATAATATGTATTTATGAACTACACAAAATAGGATGATAAATGTAGGAATATGTACATTTAAAATGGGATTAAATATATTTTATATAGTTTATACCCATCTCTGTTCATAAGTGGTATTAGCATATAGTTTTTTTTAAGGTGTGTATTCTTGCCTGGTTTTAGTACTGGTATTATGAACTCTAAGTGCAAAAAGTGAAGAAGTAAGTCCCAAGTGAAGACCCCTTTGCCTTTTACTGAAATGGGGTATATAACAGGAGAATCAGCATATCATTTCCTTGAATTCAGTAATTTACCTATGTTTCTGTGTGGTTATTGGTCTATTCAAGGTCAATGGTTCTTTTGTAGCTACTTTTGGTAATTCTATTATTTATTTATTTATCTTTTTTTCTTTTGAGACAAAGTCTCACTTTGTCACCATCAGTAGAGTGCTGCAGCATCAGAGCTCACAGTAACCTCAAACTCTTGGGTTCGAGTGATTGTCTTGTCTCAGCCTCCTGAGCAACTGCGACTACTGGTTCCTGCCACAATGCCCAGCTATTTTTAGAGACAGAGTCTCGCTCTTACTCAGGCTGTCTTGAATTCCTAAGCTTAGGTGATTCACCACCTAGGCCTCCCAGAGTACTAGGATTATAAGCATGAGCCAGTACACCCAGCCTGCTAATTCTATTTTTTTTTTAAATCCTTTTCTTCTTTATTGCCATTTTTTAAAAATATTCTATAATTTTTCAATCTTCTCTACATTTTTAATTATGCTTCATTTCTTATGATCTGTTCCCCAAAAGAGTGAATAGAGCTTCAGAAATTCTGTAATAGAAAAAGTCCGTTTGCCAGACAAGATGGACTGAGTTCTTTAAGAAATAAATGAAGAGAGGAAACTCATTCTGAAGAGTATGTTATACTCAGGTGCAGAGACATGAGGTTTATTCCTGGGTTCTAGAAGAAACAATGTATGAAAAGGAACTTAAGAAGAAGGAAGCTACTGTCCGCTGTTCTGAGGTTAGCTAGAATAGAAAAGTTGAGCACCAGAGAAAAAGAGTAAACCTTCTTAGTGCAAGGCAAACAAAAACTCGAGGAAGCCAGTTCCCAGAGCGAACAGACTGAGTACAGAGAAAGATGAAGAGGTAACCCAAACTAAAGCTCAGAAAACAGGACAGAGCACCGTTACATAGGGCTCAGCCATTCAGAGGCGAGATCTGGAATATCTCTGCCTTTCAGATCCTAAGCCTGGCTGGAAGGAAGACAGCTGTGTTTTTTGTTTGTTTGTTTATTTGTTTTGCAGGAGGGAGGATATGCAGTGTAAGTATAATCACCCTTTCTCTATCTTTGCCCTACAGCAACACCAAAGAAGCACCAAGAACGCACCTCATTCACTCCTAAACAGCAGGAAGAGTTGGAAGCTCTGTTTGGTCAAACCATGTTCCCAGATAAAAATCTCCAGAAGGAGCTAGCTTTGAAACTCAACCTACCGGAGTCAACAGTGAAGGTCTGATACCCTGGGGTGTGCTTGGTACCCCATCCAAACCACCCACTGCTATGCAGCCTGAAAGTTCCTTCCCTCAACATGATGATAGCACTTCATTTATTAAGTACCAACTGAACTGGTACTAAACTGGGCATACTGCATATGTTGGCCTCAGTATTATATAGTTTGAAGGATAAAAAAATGGAGACTAAGACAAAATGAGATAATAAGTCACAGAGATAATTACTACAACTAGAATTAAAAACCCAGAAATATTGTTCTTAAAGATTTATACTATAGAGCTCAAATAAAGAAAAGGTTTTCATTCACGTAAACTACATAGTCTTTTCAAACAAAACCCTGCAATCTGTTTATTCATAATATTACCAAAAGCCAAATGACCCCCTCTGACCTCTGAGTCTGCAAAACCCCATAAAATAATAGAGCTTACCTAAAATAATCCTTAAAATCCTTCAGTTTGGCCGGGCGTGGTGGCTCACGCCTGTAATCCTAGCACTCTGGGAGGCCGAGGTGGGTAGATTGGTTGAGCTCACCAGTTCGAGATCAACCCGAGCAAAAACAAGACCCCGTCTCTACTAAAAATGGAAAACATGAGGCAAGAGGATACCTTGGAGCCCAGGAGTTTGAGGTTGCTGTGAGCTGTGACGCCATGGCACTCTATCCAGGGTGACAGCTTAAGACTCTGTCTCCCAAAAAAGAAAAGTCCTTCAGTTCAAACTCCCTACCTCTACCTAGACTACTGAACTAATCTCTCTTCTCCAGAGTACAGGACCCTGTTTTGAACACCCAGTACAGACTCTGAAACACACCCCTTCCTTCCTGGGGTCCTGGTCCTACTCTTCATCACCCCTTCTATTCACTTTACTCTGTTCATGAAGAAGTCAGTGTCACGCTGGGAGAGGAGGATGTGAGTCTCCTCCCAGGAGGAGCCTCAAATGCCTTCTTCATGACCAGCCCACAATCTCCCCCACTCCCAGGTTTGGTTCAGGAACAGACGATTCAAATTGAAGAAGCAGCAGCAGCAGCAACAACAACAGCAGCAACAGCCATCATCAAAGCCACCACACCAGATTCTTCCAACCAAGAATATGTCTACTTCACCCAGAATGGCCACCAATCCTTACTCTTCTTTGCCTGCAGTTCCAGATTTTTACAGCTCTCTTTCACATCAGCCCTTTGATCATGCCAACCAGGCATGGGGCTCTACCTTCACTGAGAGTCCCACAAGTAATTTCCAAATGGAGGATATTCAGGAGGAGAACCTGGAGGCCTCCATTCCTGCTTTGTTCTCTGAAGCTTATGACATAGACCAAGTCATAGAAATGTACAGTTTGCCTGATGAGGACGAGACATCTGCCTGTTCCTTCCAGTGTCTATATCAGTATCTCACACCCACAAGGTCCCAGAGGACAGGGCTCCTATGTCAGTCCCCTAGGCAAACCTGTGTGACAAACCAAGGTTTTGGAGACTACAGTCTAAGAGACAGCCTGGAGTTCCAAGAACACCACCAAAATGAAAGGCATTGAATCTTTCTGATCTAAGTACTAATACCAGACCACTTAGAAAAAAAGATCTTCATTTTAGTTCCAATTGTTATGTTTAGAAATTTTAAAAAGATTTTTAATATGAATTTGAGGAGTAATCAGCAACACCATTAGTGTTTTTTTTTTTTTTCTTACTCATCACTATACTAACAAGGATTCTGGAATTTTTTTTGAGACAGTTATGCTCTGTCACCCTCAGTAGCATGTGTGGCATCATAGCTTATAACAACCTCCAACTCTTGAGCTTAAGTGATACTCTTGCCTCTGCCTTCCAAGTAGCTGGGACTACAGGCACCCGCCACAAAGCCCAGCTATTTCATAGTTGTTGTTGTTGTAGTTGTTTAGCTGGCCCAGGCCAGGTTCAAACCTGCCACCCTCAGTGCATGTGGCTGGCTCCATAACCACTGTGCTATGGGTGCCAAGCCTGGGGTTTTATTTTTAGTAGTGATGAGATCTCACTCTTTTTTTTTATTAAATCATAGCTGTGTACATTAATGAAATCATGGGATACAATGTGCTGGTTTTACTTATGATTTGAAATGCTTTCATCAAACTGTTCAACACAGCATTCACGGCATTTTCTTAGTTATTGTATTAAGACATTTATATTCTACACTTAGTAAATTTCACATGTACCCTTGTAAGATGCACCTTAGGTGTGGTCCCACCAATTACACTTCCTCCACCCATTCCTCTCCTCTCCCCTCTGTCTCCCCTATCCCCTTCCTCTTAGGCTATAATTGGGTTACAGCTTGGTTTCATAGTAAGACTGAGTATATCAGATACTTTTTCTTCCATTCTTGAGATACTTTGTTAAGAAGAATATATTCCAGGTCCATCCATGTAAAAATAAAAGAGGTAAAGTTTCCATCTTTCTTTAAGGCTACATAATATTCCATGGTGTACATATGCCACAATTTATTGATCTATTCATGAGTCAGTGGGCACTTGGGCTTCTTCCATGATTTAGCAATTATGAATTGGGCTTAAGTAAATATTCTGGTACATACATCTTTGTTATAATGTGATTTTTTGGTCTTCTGGATATATTTGTAGGATCAAATGGCAGATCTATTTACAAGTGTTTGCTAAACATCTTTCCAAAAGGAACTTATTAGTTTGCATTCCCACCAGTAGTGTAGAAGTGTTCCCTTTTCTCCACATTCATGCTAACATCTCTGGTTTGAGGATTTTGTGATGTGGGCTAATCTTACTCGAGTTAGATGATAAATAAATCAAAGTAGTTTTGATTTGCATTTCTCTGATGATTAAGGATGATGAGCATTTTTTCATATGTCTGTAGACCGTGTGCCTGTCTTCAGGGAGTTTCTGTTCAAGTTCCTTGCCCACCCTGAGATGAGATCACTTGTTCTTTTCTTACTAATACATTTGAGTTCTCTGTGGATTCTGGTTATTAAACCTTTGGCAGAGACATAACCTGCAAATATCTTCTCCCATTCTGAGAACTGTCTGCTTGCTTACTTACTGTGTTTTTGGCTGTGCAGAAGCTTTTTAGTTTGGTCAGGTCCCAGTAGTGTATTTTTGGTATTGCTTCTATGGCCTGGGCGGGGGGGGGTCTTCCTCATAAAATATTCTCCCAGGCTGATTTCTTCAAGAGTTTTCCCTGCACTTTCTTCTTGCTTACTTACTGTGTTTTTGGCTGTGCAGAA